CACACACACACACACACACACACTGCAGAACTGCTGCTCCGGCACATTTGGTGAAGGGAAGGATTATTAGGTCACATTGCTTCACCAAGGACATGAGTTCAGCTTTTCCCAGACACAAAACACCAGCATGGGTCATTTCACTCTTGTGAGAAGAGTCTGGGGGAGAAGTCACAATGTAAAAAGGAAAACCAGCCAAGAAATCCTGACCAGCTTAATGACTTAGTGTCTCATTTATCAGACCACAGAGGTGCATTAAAGCAAAGAAACTAACCACTACTGATGCACTGGAGCTGCTCAGCGACCAACAGCAGAAAATGAGGGCAACACATCCGGTGCATCTTAATTTGTGGTTCAGTCTTTTCATTTTTCCATTAAAGCCCCTCATGCAAATACACAATGAGTTATCCTATTTGTAAGGTGCTCTGTGAGAGCTAATTGAAATGGTTGCAGTATAACTCATTCATGGAGGAATCAACCAACTGATCTTGAGTGAGTCGATTCACAGGACTGACCAACAAGAGCAGAGGAGGTGAACGTGGTTTAAAACAAAATAACACATTTTAGAAAACAGAGGAACATATCTACTCTGACTGAGACACTACAATGTGAATATCCAGTGTCAGTCTCCATTGTCATTGGTCATACTTGTGAGTATAGAACAGTCGGACACAAGTTAATGGAATCTCTGTTTTTCATCGACAAAATCCACGAGCCAAAAAGAGATATTTTGGTCTGTGAAGGCCCAAAACTTGTTATTATCCCGACCAGCACATGGTTTTGTGTACTATAACCATCCTTCCAACCATCTATCATTTATCCTTTAAGGGTCGCAGGGAGGACTGGAGCCAATCCCAGTGGCGAAATAGGCAAGGCACACCCTGGACAGATAGCAGGGCTGACATGTAGAGTGTGAGACAAACCTTCATTCACACCTACAGTCGATTTAGAGTCTGCAATGAACCCAACCCCAATCTGCATGTGTTTGGACTGTGGGAGTAAGAACCCAGAATACCCAGAGAAAACCCCTCACAGACAAATGGAGAAGCATGCAAACTCCACAGAGAAAGGCCACGGTCGAACCAGGATAAAGTCTTGCTCTACTAAATTTATATTTTATGCACATTTATTTTTCACAAAGACATACGCTACCTACACCAATTACAACACCATACATTACGTGTCTGTGCTTATTCTACAAAGCAATAAAGTTAACTACATTGGGGGAAGCTTTAATCCGACTGGACTAAACCTGACTTCACAATAACATTTTAATTAGAGGTCTGATCACCGACGGACCCCATTAACGCCCACAGCTCCTAACAATATTCAACTGTCATGTTCTTCCCACTGTCTCCACATCTGTCTCACTAAAGCATGTCTCTCTTTCCCACTGTACTCCAAGCTCTCTCTCTCTGTCTCTCTCTCTCTCTTTCTCCGGCTGCACCTTATTAACCCCATGGAGAATAATAACTGCTTATTTGTTATCAATTAACTCAAAGCCTTATGTGTGACCCCATTGTACTCGTAACTAAAATCCAGTCAACTGCATCAGAAGAACATTAAACCCACGGGCAACGTCTTAAAAAGATTATGCAGAGTCACAAATCCGGTTTTCAATATGAAACATTGTTTCGTTATGAAACAAAAAGGAACATCAGATACATACATGATAAGCCTGTGCAGCACATGATTTGATCCTCTATCACAGATCAACTTAAAAAACTTTGGGTCCTGTGATTTCCCTGTTGATAATCACGATACTAATGGAATAAAAATTGATTATATGGACTCCAAACAGAAAAAAAAGAAATTACCTGTCAAAGAAAATTAGAAAGGGCAGCAATCCATATAAATTCATATCTGCCCTAAGTGGTCAGTGTCTTTCACTAATCCATCATGTTAATTCCCTCACAAAAGCAATAAAGGACAAAGTGAAGCCATCGATTCTGGTGATATGATCAATCAGGTAAAATGGGAAACTCTATGCCAGAGACTCTTGTTTGTGTTTATCATTCTGTTTTTGTCAGTAATTGATTAACAGCTTCAGATACAATAATTCCCCATTCCCCAAAGGCTGATGGGTTTCTCTTCTTTTCAACAGCTGGTCAAATGATGGTTGGACAAATTACAACATCCTTATGATTTATGAGAAGAATAAATTCTGACAGCACAGCATCACAGTAAGTAAGGGAACGATTAGAGGCCCAGTCTTTCATCAGCGACCATGTTCTTAAGTGTTACCGTCTGAATGCCAGAGTTAATGATGGAGCAGGTTATTTTTGGAGGCTGTGCTATAGTGAGTGAGTCACCACTGGGTAACAGAACAGGTAAAACACACACACACACAGAAAGACAAGCAGAACAGTCTTGTTTTGTACCTTGCTGGAGTAAGGTCCTGGGATGAGCAGTTTCAGCGCTTGTCTCTTCAGCTCTGACAGCCTCGCATTACAGTTCTCACACCATATCCCTCTTTCACTGCCAGGGGAACTTCCGCTGCCTGAGGCCGGTGAGCCGGTGCCAAAACCTGGGGAGCCACCCAGAGAACCAGGCGAGCCGGTCCCGATCCCCGGAGAGATGGTCCCCGGTGATCCAGAGAAGGAACCTGGTGAGGAGATTCCTGAGCCTGGGGACGGGGTGCCTGTGGAGCTCGGCATGGAGCCGGCACCCTCTGGAGTGGGGCGTGTGCCGGATCTGCTGGTCTCCTCATAGGCCTTTCGGTACCATGTGTCGGGGAAAAAGGTTGCAGATTTGGTCGGTGAAGTGTCCGGCATCTGTGAAAATGTTTTAAATAAGAGGTAATTATTGATAATGGCTGCATTTCCCAGAGGGATTGCATTTCCTGTGCTCTGCTATATTGTGTATGCTGACTCTTCTGGTTTTGGAAAAATACAGGGAACTAGTTATTATACATATATCTTTTTTTCTGCTAAAGTGAAAAAGGCTTGTTTGAAGCTGAACAAGTTGCACTGGGATGAGAATAAAATGATAAGGGGCTGATGGCACAGAACCTGTATGTGCAAATTAACAGTCATTAAAAGTTATTTACATTTTGCCTACAAAGCAATATAAAGATGTGTCCCTCGATTAAATCTAGATTCAGTAACCTTGTTTTTGTTTCAATCATCTGTCATTATATATCTGAAGATCATGAGATATCATCAAAAACAAATCATCCTGGTTAAATTACCTCACAGTGTTCATGCTTATATGCCACCAAATTGCAGACTAGATCTACAGGAAACAGTCGTCTTGTGGCAGTAACGGACAGGCAATGTGCTGCCAATGTGTAGACAAGGAGTCTAAACCACCATTAAATCAAATGGCCATCCAGTTTAAAACCCACAAGCAGGAAGCATGAGTTAAACATTCACCGTGACGGTGCTCCAGTCAACATACTGGATGCTTCTATTAACTGAACAGGATGGATTCAGATTCTGTGCCTGTCTGTACACTGGTGTTGTTCCCCTGCTCAGACAGACAGCCACATGAGAGCATCAAATGAGCCACAAAGAGTTGAAAATTAGAGCTTTTTTGCTGCTGGGTAAATCCAGAGACACATTGATGTGGTGGTGGCTGGAGACGTTGGGTACTATAGCTACTGTGATCCGTCAGCATGGCTTATAATGAGGCAGAAATGAGTTTATATAGGTGCAATGCTCAATCATCTCCAAGTCAACTCCTGTGTTATTAATGAACACTGATGAGGCTGCAGGCAAAGAAGCAACGACACAGGTGTTATGTGTGGCTGCTTGATCCTCAGTTTGTGGTAATTAAGAACTCTATCAGTGCATGGGAAAATAAAGCAACAGCACTGTTGTGACAACAGTGTGCCAAATGTGATCTTCACAAAGCAATCAATCAACAGCATGAACACTGCAAGCTTAATGAGAGGTGTCATCCKCATGTGCACGTCAGCCTGAGGAGGGAGGAAGAAACTACAGCTTCCAGAGGGTGGTGTGAGGATGAAGTGCATGCAGCACTCTCTGTTACCTGTTATAGGTAACAGAGGTGTGTCCAGAGGCGTGGAAGGAATAACATACCCCATATTTTCTGCTCCGGCTGCTCACAGACCTCTCCTTGGTCCCAGACAGTGAAGTCATGTTGGAGGTGAGAGATGAGGGAGGAGGAGGTGAGGAAGAAGAGGAGGAAAGGAGAAAGAACCGCTGCTGCTGCTGCGTCACATTCAAAATAAGAAAAGAGAAAGAGAGACCACCGGTTCGATTTCAATTAACCACACGCCCCTGCAGTTTGCGTCTTCTCAATCGGGAAACAGCCTCACGCCACTTCCAAGCGCATGTGGAAACCGGCTACATCCCCCAATCCTTCGCCAAAATGAAATAAAAAATAAAAATCCTTAATGGGTTTGTCTTCTTCTGTTTGTTGCCTGTGCAGGGAGCCCTTAGTTCACCTGTAAAACTCGGGGTGCAGATGCACGCAGGTCGTGCGTAAAAGCAGACCGCTCCCTGCCAGCGGAGTGAGCTGTGCGCTGGATGGATGAGGCGCAGTTGAGCTCCGGACTAGGCACCGCACTCAGCCCTGCCTCCCTCCATCAGCGCTGCGTCTCAGGCTGCCCAGGTACAACCCAACAAAACAAAACCACCAAGAGAAGAATTCCGACGCACGGCTCAGGTCTCATGGGCACAACCAAGACCCATTAAATGATGAGTGATCTATAGGTGGCGCAGCTGAAAGTCAGCTCCTGCTTCTGGCTGAGCGCGGCTGAAACGTGTCTATCCCTCCTGTTGACTTCCCGCGGCTCCGCACTCCGATGAAGCGAACTGTGGACTGAGTGCGCAGAGGGGCGCACATCTGGATGAAGGCGGGGCCTCCCTGCCCCTCATCCGCCACCGGCCAATACAGATCCAGAGGTTCCAGCTGAGTGGCAGGTGGCCCGCTGCCTGTTTCGAATGACTTCTTCTGTGGACATTTGGCAAATGACCACAGGACGTCATTATTAGGATGATGTGTTAAACACAGCCAGAGCCTGGGAGACCTGTAATGTAGGGGGACTCCCATGGCTGTAGCATTGATGTGAGTGAGGTTTAGCCCCACACAGTTCAATCTATTATTTTAAGATGTATTCCACTATTTCTACATGGAGGGAAAATAACAGATGTCTCTGCTGTCATTTAAAAACAGCATTTCCCCCTTTAAGAAGAAACATGATCACATCTGCATTAATGTAAGATATATGTCTGATTAACAGTCAACTGAATGAATGAAATGAGGAAAAATCAAGACTAAAACATTCTGACGTCATCTCTGTTCATCGGTGCTAACGCCGTTCATTTGTCTATGTTGACTTTGAAACTGTGGAGTGGAGGAGACGTCCCTTCTTTCTGTGGACTCACTTCAGTGTTTTCATGCAGGAGGCTACTATTGTACAGTGATAAAGGGTGTGAGAGTGGTAACACTGTGCCCTCTGCTGGTTCCTGCGAAGAATCAAAGCTCTGAATTCAAACAAATGCAAGACCTGCTTAGCCTGACTGCATTATTATTATTAGAAGTAGTAGTTGTAATAATAACAATAATAAAGTGATTGTTTTTGTTGTTGTTGTTGTTATTGTTATTGTTATTATAGTTATCATATACACACAACAATCAGTGTCCACATTGAGCTGTCAGCTGCCCCCTTCTCAATGATGAAGTGCTTGGTGAACATGGCAGCACGGGGCAGGTGGTCCTCCGGCTGGCTCAGGACTCAGGACTCTAACCATGCACTTCAAGTGTCAATCACGACAACACATATCTGTAAACATATTACTGGAAATATTTAAAAAAAAACTTGAATCGTTTTTATTTGGGAAACAATACATAGAACTCAGACAGAGGGTGACGGTGCATAATTCTAACCATTGTCGAGGTGGCTCCAACATGCACATTCTGGTAGGTGGCGCTGTATGTTTTTAATGCTGGTGACGATCCCTGAGCTCTGCAATCAGACAGCAGTAGAAGTAGTAGTAGTAGTTTGTGCAGCGAGTTTATTCCATGTCATTTACCACTGTTCCCGGGGGAGATCGGTGAATGGAGCTGTGTGATATAATATCTGCAATGATTTGAAAGAGGCAGGTCGAAGAGGAGCAGTTCATGGAGCTTTAACGATCGACGCACGGAGTCGTACCCGAGGTGAGCTGAAGTCGGAAGCTAACTATCCGGACTGCGGACTGGGTGAGTGGCCTGGTCATCGATCAATATCACATCAAATAAAGGATAAATAAAACGTGTCGATGCTTTTCATTTATGGCTTCGTTAGTTTAGAAACGAGCAGGACTCGTCCGCGTCATGAAATGTTTGTGTGACGTTAGCAGCTGTTGAATCTGGCGTTCGTGCAAACCTACCGTTGATCAATGTTTCGGTACGTATCGTTACAGCTCGGTACACCGTGTACGTGACGATCAGCTGACGGCTGCAGCGCTCATTGAGCAGGATGGTTTGTTGTGGCTGTGTTTGTTTACTTGCACGTTTGCTAGCAGCAAGTTAGCCCGTGTAGCCTCTGTGCAGCCGCCGCCTGCACACTGTGCACAGCTACAACATGTGAACTCGCTGTTGAGCTTGATGTTTTCACACCTCTGAGGCTGTTTGTGTGCAGATGTGTACGTGTATGCTCGATCGTCAAACCTGAGTCCAACCGCGAAGTTTGTAGTAAAGTGGCCTGGTGATGTCATCTTAGACACGATCATGTCACCTTCTAACACAATAACTAAATAATATTAAGTTAGTGAGCTGTTTGTTATTTCAGAGGCATTTCCTGATGCCTACATGTTCAATTTCCCTGAAGTAGATTGTTGATAAGAGAAATAATAATAATAGGATAATAATAGATGTAGTGTGAAGCTGTCAAACAAGGTGGGGCCCAGTTGCTGAGCAATATGTCATTGTCTTTCCTGCCCTCTGCTGACAAACCTCTCTACCCGTCTGTCAGTCCAGGTGTCCTGCAGCGCTGGAGACTCATTTCTCCAGCTGAAGGAAATCTGTCCTGACAAATGACACTTCTTGATGCTTAAGTGGAATCCAGATCCAATGAACCCAAGGGAAGTCTGTCCAGCGAGAGGACTACACCAACAATGAAAGGTAGTCCAACAGGCAGCTGTTTGGTTCGCTTTCTGAATGGTGTGAGCATTTGAAATGCTTTTGGAGGCCAATAAATAAGGGTTCTTTAAAGAAAATAGCTTCTCTAAGCCCCTGGTCGGATCCGTTATTTACATCCCCCCTGAGAGATCCAATCACAGGTAGACAATGTTAAGTTTGTCTGTTTACAGCTAATATTAAAATGTATTTAAATGGGATCTAAATGACACTAGAAATTTTACTGTCAATGATCTTTCAGGTGAACCTTGGAAAACAAGAAAAAGGAAATCTAAGAAGACACCCGCAAAGAAAGTCTCAAACCTTGCTTCATCTCCGGGCTCAGAGGAATCAAACCCTGAGCCAGGAAGTGATTTTGCCATTGTCCCAGCATGCTCCTTACTGAGTACTCCAAAAAGAGGCAAGAGGAGGACAAGACAGACTCAAGATGTCTGCTGGACCTCCACACCAGTACGCAGCTCCTCCACAGATCACCTGACCAAAATCTCAAAGTCACCTCCTGGAGCAAAACAGGCAGGGCTAGAATACACTGAGGTCATAACACAGTTTAAGGTATTTGATCATTGCTGATGTTTCTGAATGCAGATAATTCCAGTGATTATAATTTAACTCCTTTTCCATCTGATCTGCTGTAGGCAGTAGAGGTTGACTTGCCATGCTGCAAGTCAAAATCTCCAACCAAACGCAAGACGTGTGATGCTTCCCAGACAAGACAACTCAGAAAAAGAGTGGCGAAGGAGCCAGCGAAGACCTGCAGTGAAACCAAGGGTCCACAAGCCAAGCGCCAGCGTGGCAAGAGACCGAGGGCTGAGAAAGGGAATTTACAGAAGAATACCACTTCTCTGTCGTCCAAACGCTCAAGACCAAGATTTGAACTAAAGATGCCTGACTTAGCAGACAAAGGTAATGCCTCCGTAGTGTTTGTCTTATGTACAGTGAACACGATTCCTCTAAGATTCTTTTAAGAAATTATGCAATTTAGGAGGTCATCCTCTTCTCTTTCTCTAAATATAATGAATTGTGTTGTCTGAAATAAATTGTGTCATGTACGGACTTAGTTTTGCATGATATTAAAATCACTCAGGTGAGTAAAAATATCTGCTCTAATTCTGTATTATTGTTGTCCCTCTGTACCCTCTCACCCTCTTTCCCAAAAGAAGAGTCTTTGCTGTCTTCGGATCTTTCAATAGAGCTGAGTCACCATGAAGAACAGCTGCCAGCTTTGCCTTTCCAGGAAGATGAGGAAAGTGAGGAGGAGGAGCTACCAAGTTTCTTGACACGGATGGACAAAAGTGAGAGATAATGTAGTTATTGAATGCAAATAACCTCTGTGTGGATTTGATATGATCTAGATCAGGGGTTCCCAAACTTTTCTATGCCATGGTCCCCCAAACAGTATTAGCTTCTGGCCAGGGGACCCCCTTTTTTTGCGCTTGCTACGCTAGCTTGAGGAGCAAAGCAGCTTGATAAATTGCGCAAAATGCAAGGTCTACACATGACGTCATGAATGATGTTTTGACTGGCAGGCAATCAGAAAGATGAGCATGGCAATTTCCTGAGGCCCCCCTAGCGCCCCCTGGCGGCCCCCACTTTGAAATACACTGGACTAGATTACGAATAAATACTGTAAATCTAAAGTGGACTGTTTATCCTCTTGTGTTTCAGAGCCTCCCTCCATTACAGAAGGAGCGTTTGTGTGGCACAAAGTTAGAAATTATCCGTTCTGGCCTGCACTGGTGAGTGTAAAAACCTGCTTGGATCATTGATCTCTCATAATTTCTCACATTAGAGAAGCTCGAACTTGGGGGGTCTAAGGCTTAATGATTTAAAAAAGGCTTAAATCCACACTATTTTTTTTTTTGCAGGTAAAAAGAATGAATCGTAAGCAGAAAAAAGCCAGCATTGTGTTCATCGATGACCCAATGATTCACACAAAGAAAGGGTAGGGAATTCAATGGGTTTTGTCTTGCTTTTTTGAGGATTAATGTTTTTCACAGTGGACCGTTCTACATTTCTGACCTAATATCATGCTAACCTATCTAATAAGATGTGTGGACCAACTTTGACTCTTTTAAATCCTCATTAAGTCCTGTCTCATCAAAAATGGTTAGTTGGGCTTTATTCGTCATGCCTTTCATTTCTGATGTGATTTTTTTTTTTAAACTAATCAAGATATTTAAAGAAAACATTAGTGAGGAAATGTCTTGCACACTCTCAGATAATTAGGAATGGAAGTTTTAGTTGTGTGTTTGTGTTTAAGGTTTTCCGTGGCTCTGAAAATCCTGAAGCCTTTTGACTGTGAGGAAGCCAGTGAGCTGGTGGTAAGAGTTACACACAAAATATACATTTGATTTTCTATAAACAATGTTTTCTCGACACAGTGGAAAACTATGTCTGACACTCATATTGGTTTTGTCATAGTTAAAAGCCAAAGAAAAGTATGATGCTGTTATTGAGTGGTCGATGGCCCTCATAACGGACTACAGGATACGGATTGGTGAGTATTATCCAATCGCTTATGCAGACAGAAACAGATGAAGAACACTCCTACTGAGATGCATCTTATGTAAACAGTATTGTTCTGACACCACAGAATTATTATCAGTATTAAGCTGGTTTTGTCTTTGTAGCATGTGGCTCATTTTCTGGCTCCTTCATCAACTACTTTGCCCATGACATGAGTAAGTTTCGTCTTGGGACACTCACACAGAATATAAATCCACTTGAGTACACCTGCAGCCCCATTTTGTCCTACTGATTCTCTTTACTGGTTTGTTTGTGTTTTGTTCCAGGCTATCCAGTGAGGAGGAAGTACCCACAGACTGCCTCAGAGAAACTAACCATCACCAGCGAGTCCATGGTGGAGGAGCCATGTGACGATCTTAAGGAGGCCAGCTTTAGTGATCAGCAGGGGAAGGTCGGCAGGAGTTCAAAGCGGCTGCTGCCAGACCGGACTCATGCCGCCCACAATAGAGCCAATGAGAAACTTGTATATTTCATCGTCAAGCAGCACATGGTGGAAGGACACCTTCTGGTATGATTAATGAAGTCTCTTGTGTAATTAATTAATAGTTCTTAGATTAAGCAAATGCGTTCTCAATACATTAACTTATTTTGATAGGGCTTCACAAGATGATAAAGATGCAAGCTCTCATCCATGAATGAAGACATTCACTCTTACTGACTCTTCTTACTCTGCCTACAGGCTGTAATCCGTGGGCAGCAACAGTCCAGATGGCTTCGCTCCTTTCTGACTGCCAATCGAACACGGGTGGTGAACCCGTATCTGGAAGATGAAAAGCAGTTGGACCAGGTCTTCTGCTACCTAAACAAGATCTACGAGACGGAGATTGCCGCCGATTCTTGCCTGGCCGAGGTGAAAGCTGTAGAATCTATCCCCTTTGTTATGGACGTGCTTCTTCCTGAGGTGAGCTTAAGCTTCCACCAGCACATATGTGTGTTGTTGTTGTTGTTTGTTATTCTAGCCCATTTTTGCTACCTGATATTCAGCTTATGAGTTCTCAGTGTTTGTGTTGTGATATTATTGTCTGTTTGTCTTTTCAGGCCATCATCCATGCCATTGCTGGTGTTAACAATGTCTCTGTAAAACAGGCAGAGGAGAAGTACATTAAAGGACGTTGTATAAGCAACAGGTAAGAGATAAATGAGCGAAACCATTAAAGGAATAGTTTCTATACTAAATACTAAATATGATCAGTGAATTTCATTTTTTTCTCCATTTCTTCCTCAGAGAAAGACAGGAGTTCGACTTGATGATTGAGCAACAAATAAGGAAAAACCATCAGAACACTGCACTTGCATTATTGTCTGACTCATTGAAATTAGAGGACTGATTATTGTAAAATAAAGGAAAATATTTTTGTATTTTATTATGTTTTGTTTATAGGCATTGCAGCCATATCTGTGTGCTTTGCCGACCATGATAAAGCATGTGTCCTGGATTTTACATCTCAAAAGCTGTTCCTTAAAAAAAGTTATGTCTTAAAAATGTTAATAATGTTCAAATCACCTAGCTTTAATGCATAACTGTTTGCTGGCAGTACTGCCCAATTAACAATATACATTTACTGTTGTCTGTGTTTGCGTGTTTTATAAAAAAAAATGCATTTTTCAAAAATAATTTATTCTAATAGTAAAATATTTCTCGCTCCATTCATATTTCATAAAGAATGGAGTGCCAAATACAAAACTTTGACTACATCAGGCACCAATTATAACATTACATCCCATAACAAGGGTGCAGTGCAGACATTATTCTATTAGCTACTCAGACAGAACAGGTTTATAATACAAACAGTACATATTAGACTTGTGAATATCTGTAGAAAGTACACCAGTATTACACAAGCTGACCATGCAGCAATGGCTCAGAGGACCATAGACCTCACCATAGCATCTGATTGTGATCGATTTTTCTGTCCTTGGAGGAAAAATGTGCAGGTCCACCCTCACACTTTACATTGACGTAAAGGTATGATAAGAGATTTCAGTCAAGTGATATATGTACGTTTTAGTGCTATTAGAATGAAAGTGTTTTAATAAAATTCATTTAAATTAAAACCAAACACTTGCATTTGCACATGATTTCAACGCCATTTGATTTCAACGCCAAACCACAGGGGGCAGTGTTCCGAAAGAAGCAAGTGTGGCGCACAGGACGAGCATGGAGCACTTCTCTTCTCTTCTTCGGGAGTAGCGCGTCTGAAACCAGGAGCATTTCGTGTCATCCGAAGCGACCGGAGGGCTTCACGTATGAGTTGTATCTTACTAAAGAGCGGATTATGACACAAGAAAGAAGAAGTCGGGAGACGTGTCAAGGAAAAGCAAACATTCGTGGCGCTGATCAAGCCGTCAACGTCGGTTCACAGGTAGTGTGTGGCTAACGGCAGCAGCAGCAGCAGCAGCTTGTGGTCCATTGCATCACGTTTTCCAGCGCAGTGGGCAGAGAGCTAACGAGGCTAGCTCCGTGAAATCACATATCCTGGGGAAATCACATAAAGGATTAACAGAAGAACTGGACTCATCGCTTCCGAAGATCAACTGTACGATGCCGTTGCCAATAGCTACAAGCTAGTTTCACATTATGGGGCTACAGAACAATTACACTGGTGTAGCTAAGTTTAGACCATCTATCTACCGTTGTCCCGCTAACTTCACAAACCCGCGTGAGGACTGGACTTGTCTCTGGTGACAAACAGTAGTGTAATGTTAGCCCTGGTTAAATGTCACTCCTGTTGTCAGCGTCATTACCGCCAGCAAGCACTACGTTAGCTAAAGTAGCAACGTACCCCCGGCTAGTCTAGCTAGCCACCCTCACTTTGCTATTTACTGGTTACTGCTGGATGATTCAAATACCCTTTAATTGTTTGAACGTCAAGCGACTTCGCTGCACATTTCTAATCATTAAACCACAGACCTAACTTGAAATAACTTTTTTTCTAAAACCCCCAAATGATCACGTATGCCTTTAGCTAGGCTAACTTAGCTAGCTCAACTTTAACGGCGAGCTCTCGGAAACTGTAATCCTGCGTGACCTTGCGAGCTAACTGGGCAGCCTGCTAATGTAAGTGGGGAAGAGTGTAAGACAACTGTTAGCCCTCATTCGGGGACAACTAACACTGGCGTGTTTTAATGTGTGGCTCATGGCGCATGTGCTGAACACCCCAGCGCTTCATTGTTCTCAGGTGGAGAGCGATCGGACGTTTGTTTACATGATGTCAAGCTAGCTCGATGCTAACAAGCGCAGCTTCTGTTGCTAATATTTACTCCGCAGATGCTAACGAACGAGCTAACACTAGCCAGCTAGCTGACGTTTGAACAACTTTAAATTCTAAATCGTGAGTCGTGTTTGACGGTGATCTACGGAAGTTGTTCTGGGCTGTAACAAGCAGTTAACGTTCGAATATTACGCGTTGTCACTTTCACACCAGACAAGTACCGATACACGTGAGGACTAGATGTTGTATATGATGGCGCTTAATTTGTTATTCGTGAAGTTTATTTGCTGGTGTGACGTCTTTCTCTATGTCAGTGGAAGTGTAGCGATGCTTTTACGTGCACAGCTCGTGCTTGTGTTGTGTGTAAAGGTGATAAAATGCCTCCATGTTTCCTCTGTAGCTTCGGCATGTGGCAGCGCAGTGACAGGCGTGTTGCGCGGGAGTTCACTTGAATCCGCTGTGTTTTCCATTGTGGTCGCAGAGGGCAGTGTTGTGTCCAATCTCTCACACTGTGCAGCTGATGAGAAACTTTCCATTCAGGTTGTGTTGGCCCTGAAAGCACCACTGTGTGTACCGGACCCTGGAGTTACTTTTGTGTTGCTGGATTATTTGTGCAGGAACAATGTCTAGGGTCAGTTATAGTAAAAATATCACAAGGGGAATAAGTAGACACAGGTTAAAGCTAACTACACATGTGGAGATCACTATTTCAAATGAGTTTTTTGGTGAGTTAAACAAGTTAGAATGACAGATCATTCAAAATTCTTTGGGCTTTGAGAACAAAAATACGGTGGCAGAGAGAGCTCAACGCACTGCGAATTAAGAGAACACATGCAAATAGAAAAAACATATGCAAATTAAGAAAAAGTGGTAAACCTGTTTGTAGTTCAATGCTTTGTGAAGTTATTGAAGTCTGCTACTCATCAGTGGTGATGGAACTTCACAAAGCATTGAACTACAGCCAGGTTCATCACTTTTTTTGGTCCCTTGGAAACATTTCCATTGTCCTTTTTGCTATTTGCAGCGGGTTTCTGTATTTGTATGTTGTGACTTGTTGCGATGCACGTGTCATAAAATCGATGAAGATGTTTTCTTAATTTGCGCATGTTTTTTTCTATTAGCATATGTTTTCTTCTTAATTTGCAGTGCTTTGAGCTCTCTCTACCTATATGGATCTCTGACTTAGGATATGGGAAAGTATAAATTGTTTAAGAATGGCAAAAACTGAAATTTCACAATTGATTTATGACATCTGATCTCCCAGATAAACTTTAGTAGTATGAGAGTAGTGTTGTTATCATGTGCATGGAAATGTTATTGACAGTTTTTTAGCCTGGACGAAAATATAAAAGGCCACATCATGTCATGTGACCAATGACTTTAAATAGTATTTTGCTGTAGCACTTCATTAGAACTCACTGACAAACCCCACATCTGCTGACAGATGTGCAGCAGTGTGCCATGTGTTTTTGGTGTTGCCCCAGTTGTCAGCACGTTTGCTGACAGCACATTTCCTGACAACTGGGAGTGCAACTGTGGTTTGAATGAAAGACCTCTTTTGTAATGGAAAACCTGGTTGAGCAGCAACAAGCCTGAAGTGGATTTGTGGAGCTGGAAGGGTTCAGATTGGGTGTTCCGCAGGTTATGTTTTTACTGTTAGTTTCTGGTGTTCAATTAGTGAGACAGTATCTAATGTAAGGTTTTATTTACAGAATAAGATATTTTTTTACCACGTAGCTTTAGCAACAATTTCACTGTGTTTTGTGGGAACTGTAAGTGACGGATAAATGGACTGTTACTAATATACTATTTGTCCTGTGTTTATACAGTGAACAATGCATGACCTGACTGCCCAAGTCACCAGCAGCCTGCTGCCTTTCCCTGGAGTGACTGTAGACGCTCTCGGGGAGGATGACATCGCTCTAGACTCTGTTCTTCAAGGGAACTTCACTGTTGGTAAGCCTATTTTTACTGATCAACCATTTCTATAAATTAATATTGCCTCAACCCTTCATGGAATGTAATCACTACTCGTTTTAAAAGCAAAATAAACACATTAAACAAACAACTCTGTGAGGACCATGTATTATTTTTTAGTCATTATTGTCTTTGAAGTATAAGAAGCTATTGCAGCATCCAGAGTTATTAAAGACTTATCAGAATGACATATTATAATCCTTCTCTTCACCATATTTTTTTTTATCTGGGCTTACGACCTGGTTTTGAACATAACTCAACAATGAATAAGCTACTCATACACTTAATGCCTCATATTATATTCCTTCAAAGCACAAGACCGTAATCATTTATCTATTAAAAGCCCTCTGCAGAGTTGTGAAATTGAAGGTTCATGAAATTGCTGCAGCAACAATAATTCTGTAGATACATGCTGCCACTTTAAGCATACATAGTATCAACAGCATAAACACAGAGTCACTGCAGTATCATATGTACAACCTCATTTAAAATAAGTTGTTATTTTGTGATCTTTGAATTTGAAGTTTCAGCTTAAGACCAGGTATATTAGTACAACTGACTGTGGTTTTATGTTGGTTCAAGTGTGATTGGAAAAAACCGAGTCCAGCTCACTGATGACCCTTTTTCTTTTTTTGTGTGTGAAGGTCGCAGCGGCCTGGCCTGGCTAGTCTGTGGCCCCCATCTGGAGGTTGTCCATGCAGTGACAGGAGAACGGCTGTCGGCATACTGCTTCAGTGGTGGAGGGGAGAACCCACCCACCGTCCTTGCTGCCAGGGACTTCAGCTGGCTCAAACGGTCAGAGCTTTGTTTCACTAAAAGACCGATTTTTTGGAATATTCAATGACTTTGCTTGGTGAATATCGCATATTAACTCCTTTATTGTTGAATTTACTAGGTCTGGCCTGCTGGTTGGCTTGGAGGAAGCAGAAGGGAATTTGTTGTGTCTCTATGATTTGGGACTGTCGAGGGTGGTCAAAGCTGTGGTCATACCAGGCAGGGTAAGTTAACTGTGCACCAGTGTCCTCTTCTGTCCTCACTAGTAGTGATGATCTATCACAGCAGAATAGTCGTTGAATACATAAGCAACATAAATAGTTGTATGGTTTGAATCTAAATGCTCAAATCAAAGTAATAAGTGTTCAACAATAATCAACCAAAACCTGAATATGGCCTTTCTCTCTTCTAGATTACAGCCATTGAGCCGTTAGTGAGTTATGGTGGAGCAAGCACTTCGACACAGCACCTCCACCAGAGTTTGCGCTGGTTCTTTGGCATCGCTGCTGTAGTGACGGATCTCGGTCATGTTCTGCTGGTGGACCTCTGTCTCGATGACCTGTCCTGCAGCCAGAGTGAACTGGAGGCTTCAGGTAAGGAGAGATTGAGAATGGGTTTGATTTATAGGTGATTGCATGCTTGTCTGTGGTGTTCTCTTTTCTCTCTTTTTAGAGCAATGGTCAGTTTTCTGGGGTGAAATGCGGAGATCTACGGCTCTATTGTAGAACCACCCTGTTTTGTTTTTTATGTAAATCTATAAGGAATCTCTCTTTTTATATTTATTTTCTGTTCACAGCCCTGCAGGTAGTGACCAAATCTCCTGCGGAGATCCCCAGGCTTAGAGAAGTCAGCACCAGGCAGGGCAGACATCTTTGTCTCCAGCTGAATGGGCCCAGTGGAGTTGGGGCCACAGCTCTGCAGTACATCTCCAGGACCAACCAGCTGGCAGTTGGATTTTCTAATGGATACTTACAGCTGTGGAACATGAAGACACTTAAGAAAGAGTGAGGTTTTGTTTTTCTTCTAACTCCAGAACTATGAATGTGGATTTAGCTGATGGAGAGCTTTTTCTTTTAAATAAGAACATGTTGAACTATTACTGTTAAGTATCTCATTTATAGTATTCCCATGACAGCAATGTATGTCTGCTGATAAGACATTGGAATTGATGTTTACTAACAAAAGTTAAAAAACAGTCAGACAGTTTAATTCATAGGCACATGTAATATTTGTGTAATCTTATATCGTTGATGCATATAGGAATTTGAGGTTGATTTAAAATGTCTGTGTGTACTAACTGTTGATTGATTGTTCATGTGTAGATATAACTCCCAGTTAGAAGGTGGCGGTGTGGCTGTGTATGCCTTCACCTTCCAGGAGCCAGAGAATGACCCCAGGAACTGCTGCTACCTCTGGGCGGTCCAGTCATCTCAGGACCTGTAAGGCTTACATATTTTAAGTAATCTATCCAAACAAGTTTGTTTGTATGTTTTCTATGACCTTATTTGTCCTCTACACTTCTCACTCTCATACAGCGAGGGGGATACTGTCAGCCTCCGCCTGCTTCAGCTGGCCTTCAGTGAACGGAAGTGTCTGTCTTCTGGGAAGATCCTCTATGAGGTCTTTAGTTCATACAATATTATGACAGTATTTTTTATGTTTTGAATTAATAATCCATCTTATAAAGGTGGCTCCATGTTGGCCCCTGCAAATGCACCTTGATTTATCCTCTCTATTTGTGACTGTCACTCAGGGTCTTGAGTACTGTGAGGAACGTTACAGTCAGGAGTTAAGTGGCACAGCTTTCCCTCTCAGGGCTCAGACCACAAATACCCGCCTGCTGAGTTGCCAGACCATTGAGAAATTCAGACCCCACCCTGATCGGGATGACAGCATGAACGAAGGTTAGTCTGCTTCTCCTGAGAAACCGTTTCAGCATTTTATTTTTTCAATGAAATTTTGTATGTGTTTCAGTGTTGTCAAAAGTTATCTTAAATTATTTTACGGCTGTGTTTTCTAAAACACTGAGAATTTCATCCCCCATCTTCCTTTTTTCAGTTGCATCTCCAGACACCAGTGTTTCTATCTTCAGCTGGCAAGTCAAGGCCTACGGTCAGGGAACTCAATCTACGTACATCGGGGTATTTGACATCAATCGTTGGTACCACGCACAAATGCCGGACTCTTTAAGGTACATTGGAAACTGATTTTGCAGCTGTTTTAGAGACTTCCTTACTTTAAAAACAGAAAACATTCATTGTTGTGATTTTAAAATGTATCCGACTTTATTAAAAAAAAAAAGAAAAAATAGAATCATATGACACCCAAGGTTTGGGATGTCGTGTCTTTGTTGTAATTGTCCTTGAGTGGCTGTTTGATTTACTGCAACACTACATTTCACTTGCACCTTCTGTGTTGTTGTCAGAATTGGGGAGTCTCTGCAGAATTGTCCCTACCTGGCAGTTTGGTCTCTGGACCCAGTGGTGAAGATGGTGTCTCCACACAGTCTCCTGGATGTGGTGGTACATGACCGGAGCTTAAGCAGGGGTCTGCCCTTCACCTGTCCCCCACCAGAACAGTACTTTAACCCCACTACATACAACTTTGGTAAGTAGAGACGGTGTGTGTACCAACATCTCGAGGGATATTTTTAATATGTCATATTGAATAATCTCCCTGGTCTATGTCATTTTTTTCCAGGCTGTGTTGTATCTGTTGCATCTTTGTTTCACTTTTTTGTTGAAATATGATTTCACCAAAAAGGTTGATAGACTTTGTTGCTTTTTATTTTTGTGTTACAGATGCTACCTGCTTGCTAAACTCTGGAATCGTGCACTTAACCTGCTCTGGGTATCAGAAAGAGGCAAGTCTCATGTATTAGTTTGTTTCACCACACTAGGCCTGTTCCATACGACCAAAATCTCATAGCCCAGTCAAGGTCATTTCATATCCACATGCAAACCATGAATTTTTTCTGCTCAAGTTTACAGTTTCTTCTGTATTAATGGGACATGATCTTTTTGGAAATGGAAAGTAGGCTTCTCTGACACCTCCCCATTGTCATTAAAACAGACTCTGAGCTTCTTGAAAAAAGCTGCTCCTTGTTCCAGTGATGTCATCTCCACTAGCTACTCTCGCTGCCTCATGTCTGGCCTACTCTCATCTCGCCTCTCTGACACTCAGGCTGCCAGTCTCTCTCAGGTACATGTTCTGTAGATCACATTTATGATGGTTTTGCACTCCCTCTTTCAGTTCATGTTAAAATAAATCTCTCATCTGAAAATAAAATATACAAAATAATACACAGAATGAAATAAGATATTTTTTCTTTAGTGTTTTAATTATTTTTTTCATGCAACTTTGACTTCAGGAGGAACAGCTGGATGCCATCTTGTCCACAGCAGTGGAGACCAGCTCCCTGGGACTGATCACTGGCTGTATAAAGCAGTGGACTGCAGAAGGTGAGGAGACGTAACTGTCAAATTGTTTCTCAACCTTACACCCCAACCCTTTGTACCCATGCAGTATGTGGTGAAGATGTCCCCTCAGTGTTGCTCTTGACTTCATCTCACACATATGTAGACATTCGCACCTTAAATTTGTAATGCACTCCGCTGCATATGTGCCACAGCCACCCGTTGTGCTGTCCATGCTAGTTCCTCAAATTCTGTTCTTCTTCCACAGAACAACCAGGCTCTGCACTGAACCTGCGCTACATCCTGGATTGGGCCTGGAACAAAGTGGTCCAGACCAAGAAGGAACTGGATGGCATCTGTATGTTTACATATCACGCCCTTCCTTATTTCCTTTCTCGCATACAATGTTATAATGTGAGATATTCATTTGAAATGATTAGGTAAATGTATTTAAAAGGTCATTCCAGGGAGACTGAAGCTGAGGCATCAGAATGCTCTGAACGTGAGGTGTCCAATGGTCTTTTTCTACTTCAGCAACAAGCTGATCTTGGCTTTTCGCTGATTATTTTTATGCAGTTATCATATTATATTTCAAGCACAGCCCCTCTACAGGCATGTATCATACTCCAGTATATTGCTAGTGATATTAGCTTTTGTATTTTCAGAGAGATGTTTTTTTTTTTTTCACCTCAATTTGCATTTTAGCACATTTCCAGCACATACTACTACTATCGGGTATATATAGATTATTTCTTATACTGTTTCCGATTGAGACACTAAATAAACTGTTGTGTCACACAATACAATGGAAATGGGCGTAAGATTTATCCAACTGGTGTTTTAAGGTAATTTGTTGCTGCCGATGTTTTGTCTGTCCACTCTCATATTCTGGATCAGGTCAGACAGTTTAATACTCAGTTAAAAACTCCTTGTATGGGCTTTAAAAAGGCCTGGACTAATATTGGTCATATTTAAATATGTGCTGGATGTTTCTACGTTGTTTGTAAGTTTGTTTCAGTGTATAAACTGATGTTGAACTGTTACTTTTTGTGTTTGTTTTTGTAGGTGCACCGCTGTTTGACAGCTCCTCCAATTTTACAGACCCTCAGACCTTACAGCTGCTGCAGCACAGCCAGAGACTGCTGGGTAACCTCAGCACCATCTTCCACTGTCTGCTCAGCGAAGCTCAGGAGCTCACACAAAAAGGTGCAGTGTCCACACACAAACAATCACATCTAAGTCCATCATATGCAGCCACCTCTGTCAGTATTTTACACAGGGAAGTGCTTTGGATGGAGTATCAATCCAGTGTGATTGCACTCTTTGGTGAACTGTTTGGGCTCCCCAGTTCAAACATTGGAATTATACTTCCTTGTTCAGTGGTCAGCCATATCTTGTAACTGAGAACCTGTTTGTTGTTATTGAAACGTTGTTATATTTTTGTTGTGCAGGTCTGGTGGGGCTGATAAACAAGAACATGGTGTCCAGTCTGATTTCCAAGTACGCTCAGGTGGTCCTCTGGTTTTGTCGTACTGGCTTACTGCCCGAGGGATCAGGTAAAAAACACAGTTGACAAGAATGGAAAATTTGCAAACAAATATGAAAAGTTTCTGCTTTGCACAGTAGGGAAACATTTCTAAATCAAGGTGTGTTGAAGCATTTGCATACATCTGTATTCAGCTTTTTTTCTTCTCTCCTCACTGGTTGTGACTCATTTACATCAGATGATGATGCTCTCCAGATCTCCAGGCCTTTCTACACCCACTCAGTCATCAGCAACTATTATACTATACGCAGAGAGGAGCTCACCAGACTCGCTAAGTGAGTACTCCTTGTGCAAAAGCAAGAAAGATTAATTAAATATTGCAATCATTCTAAATCTAGGGCTGCAGCTATCAGATTTACTCAATCACTAGCAAAAGTCTATGAAAGATAGATAATCTAATGCTGAAACTTCCATGTTGCCTTCTCAGGGGAAAGTGGTGTGCAGACTGCCTGATGATTGACGGTTTGATCCGTCAGTGTGGTGAACGCTTGACCAACCTGTGGAAAAGGGATGAGGGTGGGACAGGGCAGTATCCACCACCTACACTACATGTAAGCATTTAAAAATGAATTTGATTCATTTTTAATATCCAATATAACTCACACATCTTATGAACTCATACATCTACTGTATCAATGCTGTAAAGAACAGGATATTAATAATGTGTCTCTGATCCACAGGCCTTGTTGGACATTTATCTGCTGGAAAACATTGATGAAACTGCCAAACATGCAATCGTATCCTTTATTATCTAATAATACTTGTTTCCCAAATTATACAAGTCAGGCAATATATTTGAGAACATATTATATAGACATTATCTGGTGTTAAGAACTTCTTCAAGAACATACTTCATCATAATTCATCACTTTGAGATGTATTTCTGCAGTTTTATAGTTTGTAGCATATATGGGAAAATATCTTGAAAATATATTCATACGCTCACATTGTGTGCTATTAGTTATTGTTGGGTTAGTTATTTTATACACTATTCCAATGTCAGGATATTATGTTTGTTTTATTTTTATTGTTGTATCTTGATAGAAAATCATAAACCCTTCTGTGGTTGGACTAAATTAAACCTCCTGTCCGTAAAAGCCTTGACCTGTTGTCTCAGGTGATTTACCTGTTGCTGGATGTCATGCACTCCTTCCCCGACAAGGATGGAGCATCAGTGCACTCTTTTCCCTCAGCTTTTGCCATCCCTGTTGGGCTGGTGAAACTAGTACAGGGCCTCTGGTTGCTGGACCATCACGGCCATCAGGTTCTCACATTTGAATGACATTATTCTCTAATTTGGACAATGAAAACCTCAATACTTCTTAATACAGCCCTCATGAAATGGTCCCTCTGTTTATCTTTGAGCTCTTTCTTAATGTCACTTTTGTTCTTCTTTGTCCTGATCAGAGTTCATTTGAGCTGCTCCTGCATCCAGCTGCCTCTCAGTGTCAGTTTGAGTGGCAACACGAGCGCGTCCTGAACGCTCTCATGTGCCAGGGCCAGCATTCAATTGCTCTGCGATATTTCCACATCACAAAGCTCCCGATTTCCTCCACCTCCCAGGCCAAACTCTGCCTGTCTGTACTGCTACACAACAGGTAGCTTTTTGAAATTTGAAACTGTGAAATATTTTAGCCTTATGTTGTCTCACGTCCTTGTTATTAATCAGCCAGTGTGCGCTTTTTCCAGGTGTCTCATAGAGGCGTGGTCCTTAGTTCGGCAGCACTCTAACCGACTCAATATGGCTGAGCTGATGGGCTTCCTGTACGAGAGCTGCCAGGAGCTTGGCCTCATCAAGGAGCTTCTCAAACTGCCCCTGAGTCTAAGTGAACAGGTAAGAAAGTGCAGATGTCTGCATTATTATAAAACCAATAGTTATTCTGCTTGTAGATTGATTCTTCTTTAGGTTGTAAAGTTGATGCCTAAACTCTTAGTTCTTGGATTTTTGTTTCAGGAGTGTTTGGAGAAGTTTCTCCAGGGCACAGGAGGTCTCCAAAACAGAGAATTACTGATGGTTCATTACCTTCAACAGGCCAACTACATACCTGCTCTGCAGCTCAACCACAGCCTTAAAATGGATCTGATGGTATGTGGCACACCATAATCGCCTTGATGGCATTAACTCGATATGAAGTATGTGATATTTATGTTTCAACTGTCAAAAGTAAAGTGTTCCATCTGATTGATAATCCTATTTTATTTTGTCTTTGTTCCTAGAATGAGCGAGACCCAAAGCTTAAAGAACGATTCAACACCAGAAACTCTATATTGGATCAGTATGGGAAAGTTTTGCCCAGAGTCCAGAGGAAACTGGCAATGGAGAGAGCCAAGCCCTACCAGCACCCGTACACCATTCACAGAGAGGGTATGTAGGATGAATTCACTCCATCCATCACATGTTTACACATTGGGGAAATTATCAAAATGATGACATTAGATGATGACAAACCGATGTCTTCCAGTTTCTCGGCCGCAGCCACTGTCGACTATCACCAAGCGCTCTGCCAGTGAGAAAGTGATGTCCAGGGCTGGATTTATCAACAACGTCCTGACCAAGATTGAGGAGGTGTGGTTAGGCAAAGGTGCAACACCACAGTCCTCCCCATCAAACAAGTGAGCATATGATATCAAAATGTATCAAATCTCCAAGGTAACGACTTTCATTGTTGTTTTTTGTTTTGTTGTTCTAACCTTTTTCATTTTGTTTCTTCCAGCTTCAGGGCAGCAGATATTCGGAGCCCAAGCCCCAGGCCCTCGTCTTCAGCCTTTCCTGATCCCTTCCTCGGAACTCCCCTCACCATGACCAACAAAAGAAAGTCAAGGTACTTTCACAAGAGCAACAGTTGAAATGAAGGCAAACGTTTGTAATAACTGTTTAATAATGCGTCTATCTTGTGCAAGACAGTTCAATCCTTTTTTAATATGGTTACATTTAGCATAACCAGAAAAAAAATTAACTCGATTTTTGACCATCCATTCCTCATTTATGTAACCCAGGCTGATGGACTTGGTGGTTCAACCCACCTGTCAGAGCCCTCAGCCACTTTTCAGCCCCCCCAGACCACCCAGCTCCTGGGTTTCTCCAAAGAGCATCAGCAAAGCGCCTGAACTGAGTCTACTGCAAACACCACAGGTCGTTAAAGTACGTAGACAAGTGTGGATTTTGTTGTGGTTTCAAGATTATATAAAATCTATTGTAATTAATCTTGTGTTTGGGGGAATTTTAATATTTAGTTGCTCATACTTTTTGTATGTTTTGTCTTCTCAGCGAGCTCGGGCCTTGGCTGCCTCTGGCCCTGTGTTCTCAGCCTTCACCCCACAGTCCATCCTCCGCAGCAGCCTGAGGCCCACACCTGTTGCCACCCCTTCTGCTTCTCCAGGGCGCTCCATCACCCCTCCGCTCCGCAGCAAAGAGAGCCGCATCACTTTCATCGAAGAGTCAGAATCTCCTGAACAAGAGAAGAGCATGAGATGGACCAATGGGGTAAGAGGCTATCTCACACTAAAAAAACATTTTAACTCACCTTCTGTATCTGTGTGTCCTGTAACCCTCGTTGGAACTGTTATTTCCTCTAGATTACTGCAGACCGTGAGATCAGCTTGCTGACCAGAGGCCCCATAATGTCCAAGGCTACAGCTAAAAGCTGGTCTTCACAGCCTGCTGATGAGGAAGAGGATGGAGATAAGGAAAAGGAACAACCTCATGTGAAGTTCTTGCCTCCTGAAGGCGGTGTCCCCTCACTTCAACTGAGAGGCTCTGAGAGTGAGTCATCCTCCATCCATGAAGCTGTAGAAACCAAACCATCAGTTGCGCCACAAGCTCAAATCAGCCTGAGCTTTGACACTAGTCAAACATCTGTCCAGTCAACAGACACCACCCTCGAGTTCTATGATGCACCTTTACCCCAAGAACAGGAAATAGAGGAGAAGCACTTAGGCACAGAGGAAGATGAAGAGGTAGTGACACTGAACATCAAAGCTTCAACTGGAAATGAGGAAACAGTGGAAACACACTCACTAGCCACTGAGCAAACCCCTGTTCAGACACCAGAGAATATAGAGAAGGAAGAAGAGGAAGCGCAGGAAGATGAAGAAGCTATCGAGATTGGTGTTGAAGAGGAGGTGAAAAATGAGGAAGATGTTCAGTCGGAAAAGGAAGACGAACAAGATGTTGAGTCATGTAGTAAAGAAGATGCTGCAACTGTTGACCACGAGGAGGCACAGAGTCAAGGTAATTCATTAGAAGAATTTGCATGATTTGTTTTCACATGATTTATTATTAGAGGTGAGATGTTTCACACCAGCACTGCATAGTAACAACATCCAAAGATGTCTGCTCTAAAATTTGACAGTTTCTGAATTTCTCTAAAACATTGCTTATAATATTATATATATCACTAGTGTGTAACCAGGTAACCGAGATCACAGATTCTGGGACGGAGATCGAATCTCAGGATCAACCAGCGAACGCCCCCGAACAGGACGTCCAGTCAAATGTCACTGAATCCATAGAGTTCACCCAGCATGTGAAACCATTAGAAGAAACAAATGAGCCTGAGGAGGATCTGGAACAATCAACAGGTCCGTATAAACACAATACATTTATACTGTAAATAATACATACTCATAACCAAGGCTATGTTGAAAAAAGATGCAAATGTGTTGTTTTGTGTTGGTTTCAACAGATCTGACTGAGTTTGTGCAGCAGCATTTGTTTGGCAGCGACCTGTCTCCTCCACTCACCCGCTCAGGAATTCACAATGCATCACAGATGCAGATGTCATTTGACAGGTATGTACCTTTTTTTTTTACAAATAATTATTATAAAATGCAGTTTTTTTTCTGTAGCCTTATCCGGTTTTGATCCGTTATTTATTTTGTTTATGTTTCTACCAGAGAGTCACTAGGTGAGGTTGAAGAGGACGAGCAGGCAGCTGTCGAACCTCCCCTAGTTTTCACCAGCCAGAAATCCGACGCCTCCGTGACTTCCTCCGAGCCGACAGGCACAGACTCCCACTGTGAGGAAAATTGTTAACATGCATATTAACACAATGACTTTATCCTATCATATTTTCTCACACCCTTTTGCACTTTGCTTTGTTTTTTTCCTAGCTGTTGTGAGTGTAAACGATAGTGAAGAACTCTCTAGCCCTGCATCTGAGGAGGAGGAAGAAGACGATGAAGAAGAGGAATCTGATCAAGCTGATGAAGAGGAGGAGGACTCTGGTAGTGAAGTTGAGATCATTGAGGAGGTGCAGGGCAATGGGAGGCTGCCACCCCTCCAAGCCAGTTCACTGTTTGTACAACCAGGACACACACACTTCCTGCCGAGCCTTTTAGAGCAGGAGGCTGCGGAGTTCTCCCTGATCACACCCGGAGCAGAGATGAAGGTAACCAACATGGAGCCAAGATGATTAAAGAAAACTGAATCATCCAACATTATTTTGTAATATCTACTTATAAAAATTAAAAAATATATGCCAAATATTTATATGCAGCTTTAGAATGTACTACTTTTTTTCTACATTCTAAATTTGATTCATCAATTAATTCCATCCCAATAAATCAGCAACTAATGTTGTTGTGTTTTCTCCTTCACAGATTGTAGAGGCAGACATGGAGGGTGATGTGGTCATGGTGAGACTTGGGGACAACGAAGGAGAGATGGAGGCAGAGGAGGACGAAGAGCAAGGCTCGTCATACATGGAGCTCAAACCTTCCACCACTCTTCTGGTTCCTCTGGAGCTTGTGGAGGATCAACACGGCCTGGTCGATAGTGCTCAGCTGGATCTTCCAGAGATCCAGCAAATGGTCGTGCCAGACAACCCAAGGACTGAAACTCACTGTGACTTCTCTCTGATGCTGGATATGGATGAGGATGGGAATAAAGAGGCAGACATGCTGCATATTGAGAATGATCTGCATCCCTCCCATCTCTCCACCCAGCCTCCAGTAGAGGAGGCTAGTGAGGAGCTTGTGGTCAAACCTGAGGTTATTCTTTTGGGCACAGATGACCAGGATATGCCCCTGTCTGAGACAGTCTCACTAGATGACCAGAGGTTAGAGATGGACATCCTGGATGCAAATGAGGTTGATGGACTGACAGAATCAGAACCTGTAGAATTCCAAACTGACCAAAAAGGTGAAAACGCTGACACAACTCAGGAGACAGAAGATCAAAATGTGCGGGAGGATTCTGAGTGTGTCATTCTGGCTGAAGATCTTGAACCTGCAGCTCTACCTGCACCAACTCCAGTGGGAGAACTCCCAGCAGTTGTTGACGACAATGAGTCTGAGGCAGAAAAAGATGCTGCTGATGAGAAGCAGGAGGAGGAGGTGGATCATATACCAGCACCTGAGGACCAAGAAGAACCTGAAGAGAATGGGCCTGTTGATATGGATGCAGAGATTGTACCCAGTACAGATATGGTGCCTGCTGTGGAGGAGCATCTGCAGGACAGCAGAGTCAAGGAAACAGAACAGCTTTACAGAAAAGAAGAAATTACAAAAGAGGAGGAAACAAAAAGGACGATGGAAGAGTTTAACAGAGAGGATATCGCAGAAGAGGAGGAAACAAATAATAAGATAGAAAAGCTCAACAGAGAGGAAATCGCAGAAGAGGAGGAAACAAAAGATACAATAGAAGAGCTCAACAGAGAGGAAATCACAAAAGAGGAGGAAACAAAAGATATGATAGAAGAGCTTAACAGAGAGGAAATCACCGAAGAGGAGGAAACAAAAAATACGATAGAAGAGCTTAACAGAGAGGAAATCACAGAAGAGGGGGAAACAAAAAATACGATAGAAGAGCTCAACAGAGAGGAAATCACCGAAGAGGAGGAAACAAAAAATATGATAGAAGAGCTTAACAGAGAGGAAATTACAAAAGAGGAGGCAACAAAAAAGATGAAGAGGGGAAGACCAAAAAAAACAAACATTGAAGAGACGCCTGTGAAACAGGTCTCGAGCTCAAATTGCGAGCCAGAGGAACAATCTGTACCAGAGACCCCCACTTCTCAGAAGAAGAAGACTCCTCTCACCCCAACACGGAGAACCACAAGAGGGAGGAGGGCTGTCACTTTCATCTCTCCTCTCCAAGAGGAAGCAGAGGAGCTAGAGGAGGATGTCAAAGTGGAGGAGTCAGAGATGAGGGAGGTCCCTGCCACACCTCGTCGGACTCGTACACCAAGAAAAACTAACGTCCAAGCCAGCACACCTCGAAGAAGTTCCCGCAAATCTCTGCAAGAGCCCCCTAAAGACAAGGATGAAGACGAGGAGGCCGTGGATACCACAACAACCTCCAAGGCCACTTCTCCAGCCAGACGACAGGTTTCCCAGAGGAATACTTCAACAAGGACCCCCCAAAGGACCCGGACTGGCAGTAAGGAGCCGTCCATAGCTACAGAAGTTGAATTTAAAGAGGAAGACTTAGAGGAAGAGGTCACACAAATAAAAATTGGGAGAAGAACGAGCTCCAAGACTCTCACTTCTTCCAAACCTAGCACCACACAGAGCAACACCCCGAGAAAGACCAGTCGCAAGATGCTGAGCAGTAGTGAGTTGGAGTCCTCAACATTAGAGATGTTGGAAGAGGAGAATGAACAGGAAGAAGTTTTTGCTCCCCCTGTCAAACGCAGCTCAAGAAAGATGAAGACGGAAGAAGAGGAGGGGGAGAAACAGCCATTTCCCAGCCCTGGCAGGACGACGCGGCAGTCCAGCCGGATCTCCCTGAATGTTTACCCACAAGTAAGGATTGAAATCTAAAATAAAGATTATGTTACATAGGCTGAAATGTAAAGAGATCATCTCATTCACCAGCATCTGTTGTTCCCATATTAAGACACTTTTGTTTGATGTTCTTTTAACTTTTGTCATATCAAATCATTTTTTTTCTAACCAATGGTTATCATGCATGTGTCATATAACCCAATCCATCCATTCATTGTTGATCATTGATGACACCACTAGGTCAAATTGGTTCCTGTATCACTTCCTCAGAGTGCAAGAAGTACAAGACAAGGGACAACTACTGAAAACATTAAAGAAAGCCAAGACTTACCTGAGTCCGAGCATAACGGCAACGCAAGTCGCACAAACTCCCGTCGACCAGCCAGGAGCAAACTGTGGGACAACCCTGAGGAAGATCTCCCTTTACTGGACTCTCCATTGGAGGTGGACTCTGAAACCCCTGTGGCAGATGCCCTCATCAAGAGACTGCAGGATGAGGAGAAGCAGGAAGGTACGTGCAGAGCCTCCACCTTGGACTGAAACTAGAACTGTGCTTATAAGAAACAAAAAGAAGCATTAGAAATGTTCGAACATGTTTTGCTAACGTAATTGAGTCGTTTGTTAAATGACAGGAGGAGTAGTTGTCTCAAAGATGGTGAGAAACCGCAAGAGGAGTACAAAGTCGTCGACGGAGCAGGTTGACATCCTGGTTCCTGAACCCGCTGAGGACGACTCCAGTCCAGGCGATCACTCAATCATCTACTCCCCCTCACAAAGGAGAACAAGAGGTAATCATCCTTTTATTCACATCGTCGTCCATCCATTTGTCCACAGTGATTGAACTTGTTTTTATCTGACTCAGCCCATAGAGGACAGTCTTCTGGACCAAGCGAAGAGACTCCAGCGCCTGCCACCCGCAGCAGGAGACGAGTCCAAGATGTTGCTCCTCAGGTGAGAGCTTCTACTAATGAGAGTTCATGTGTTAGATGTTTTAAATTAAGTTAATACTGCTCTGAAATGACAGAGACCACATCTCCAGGATGAAAGCATCATTTATAAAATCAGTAATGATCACATTGATTTTGAGGGAGGAATAATAGATGTAAGTTTTCTTGAAGCATTTTAATTTTTTGACATCTCCTTTTTTCCCCAGGATGCAGCCGCCTCAGAAGAAGATAACGTGGAAGTGGAGAAAGCAGCAAGTGTTTCTAAAACTAGAAAGACAGGCAAACAAACAACCAAGTAAGACTGTTCTCCAAAATATAAATCCCACAGTAACGTCAAGATGTACCGTTTTTTTTTATTGACTCTGAGTTAAGAATACATTTGTACATAAATGTCATTTATTGACATGAATGTAGGATTCAGTATTTACTTGATCTTGATTTGTTTTAGTCACAGCTAATTCTAATTCTGATACTCTCTCCATCTTCAGATCCAAAGGCGTTTTGGAGCCACCTCCCACAGCAGAGGTGGACCTGATCTCGCCTCTGCCCAGCCCAGCTGATCCACTCCCACGAACACAGAAGAGGGTTAAAGGAGGAGAGGTCGCGACCTCAAGCATGAACCTGCGACGCAAACGCATAATGGAAACCGTTTTCACAAAACCCGTCACCCGCAGAAAGAAGCTGTAAGGAGGCTGGTGGTGTCTTTTAACCAGTGAACCTCAGACAGCTGCCACAAGATTTAAACCAAGTCGGTGTGGGGGGAAAAACAAACTATGTCCTCAAATGCTTCAAAGCTGCAGTCGTCTTTGTATGTTGACTTTTCCGTGTAGGACAATAAAATAAAAGCAACGAGAGGACTATATTTTTGGAGTTTACTTGTCCTGCTCGTACTAACTTGATTTCACTTGATATTGTGTCTGTGGCCATTTTGTGACGCTCTTTGTAATCGACTTAATTCTCTGAGCACAGAATGGAACGAGGGAACGTAATCACTGAGGGGTTTTAGCTGCGTCCGCTCATAAAACCCAGAGACTGAAGAGAACTTGCCTCTGATGAGAGGTTTTATTTACATTCTCTTTAATTTTAAGTTTTTTTTCTTTGTTGTTTACTTTTAAGACTTTGATGCCTGCTGTTTTTTCTATTTAAGAAGAAAAGCAACCAACCCAGTGGAGATGAAACATTTCTACTGCTAGATTTGTATATAGTCTTTTTGCTATGTTCCAAATAAAGATAATAAATAAAAATCCTAAAGAATTATGTTCATTTTGCATTTGATCATCTAAGCAGGCTGCCTATGCCACAGTCTTAATATAAACTCAGTTGATTTGGGAGGGTTTCTGTGAACAAGGCACAGACTTGGACACTTGCCAACAGAAGTGGACTGTTTGTACGTTATAGGGATGTTGTATATTGTGAGAGAGGGAGGGGGAGACTTGCACATCATTTGGAGTTCAACTTGTTTTGGGATTTGTTAATAGGCTTGTTAGATTCAATTTACACCATCTGTCACATAGGCTATTTTCTGATGAATGTATGTAGAATGTCTTATTTTTGATGACTGCTCTTTGATAAACATGGCAATGCTTGAAAACCTCTCTCACTGTTATTGTCTCAATTTCAGTTTTTTCTGCGGATGGAGTGATTGTGTCACAAAGTGTTTTTATTTTTTTTGTCTGAGGTGAGCAGAGTTAAGAGATTTTTCCCTGATGGTGTCTGAGAGAACCAGCCGTCATCAGCCTCCACTTTGAAAAGGAACATAAGTGAAACTGTAACCATCCTGTGTGAATTTGACTCCTGTTTTCCAGGGACCCATCTCTACTCAATAATTCAGAGTGTTGGATGAGGTGAAAGTGAAACCAACTCCAACGCTTCAATTCATTTGCCAATCACCAAGGGATTCAAATCTATTATAAAACCATCTTAGTGATTTCTTATTTACTAAACGTATCGATAAAAGTTCAATACAATATTTGAATTTTACCCTGGAATAGTTTCCTCTTCACATTGTCTCTAAGTTTAGACGTTACAGTCACATCCACATTAAAGAATAAATGTTTTCCATCATGTTTCCAATGAAGCCACACGAGGCAGTGGCCTACATTCCCATGTCTTCACCTCTGTCTCTCAGGCTGCCCTGAATGTGTCCGTGTCAACATGTTACTCGACACAGTTTGCTCTCCTGTGCTCTGTGACTGAGTGGACCACCCGGTGTGTCAGTCAGTCACCTGTGCTGAAACCTGCCTGCTGACAATGAGAGCTAAAGCCTCAGACATGCACAGCAAGGACTGTGTCAAAGTGGCCGTCAGAGTCCGACCCTTCAACAAGGTCAGTGTTCAGTGGTTCTGTTGAATGAAATGAACAGTTTCACATTTTAAATCAATCATCCATTGGTTTTTTCATGCAGTTTATATTTATTTCATACTGTTTTCTTAATGTGTATTAATGTGTGACATATGCATATTACTACATACAGCTGTATAGCATTTGTATACTAAAAGGAATATAACTTCTAGTTTTAGCGGGCCAGGATGGCTCTTTACCAGTTTACTCTCAAATGTATTTACAAACAAAGGAGGATTTGACTTTATGCACATTGATCACTTTTCATCAAATAAGAGCAAAACAAAATCCAAGATTTAACTTAAAATTGTGTAAAACAACTTCAAATACAACAAATGTAATGTTTTTAGCGTAAAATGGCAACATTAGACCATATAAATACTTTCTGCACTGAGTGAATGAGACTGATGAATAATCCAGTTCAGCTCTAATGTTCCTTATATGATCATGGGGCATAATGTGCATTATAATGTTTGTGATCAGACCGAGAACTAAGAAGGATTGAATATTAACATGTATGTGGCTTTGTAGCCCTGCAGTGTTTCCTCATGTAGGTTCATGGGCTGTTGTGTTGCCTTCAGGAGATACTCGTAAAATAAATGATCAGACTCTAATGTAACAATGTGACCAAAGTTAATTTGAATTGAGAAAAGTAATTTGTGAACATAATTCGAACTATCTAATA